GACGATAGTGTCTATAAGTAGAAGAGTTCTGATTCCCTTTATTTACAAAAGTCATATTTTTGTTCATGGGCTGATAAATAGAAGCGAAGTTTGAAGGCCAGGAAAATTCCAAATGATCATCGAAAATATCTAATCTGTTGCACTGTATAATTAAACACAAACAAAGTTGTGTAGATAATGTCACAAGGGGCACCGAGAAGAAGATAATACGGACATATGAGAGAGATTGACGAAGTTTCAATATTTATAAGTAGGAGATGATTCAAAAGAGCGCTGGTTCTTGATTCAATTTTTCAGCATTCCAATTGACTTGTTTTCTGTACACTGAGAATGTCTCGTCGATTTCTTCTGACGATATTACTTCCGACAAATTTTGAAATCCGAATGGAGATCGTTCAGCGACTATTTTCAAAATTTTCTCTGGACCAAACTCGCGAGCAGCTAAAATGTAAGACTGTGAGACTGTTCGTCGTAGTTGATCGTATTTTTCCAGACCTGTTGGTGTGATCCCATGTGTACGGAAGGCCAAAAGAAGATCGCGGGCATCGATAATAGCTTGAGAAGCTCCATTGCCTCCATAGGGACTCATCGGATGAGCAGCATCACCAATCAAAGTAACACGATCATATGTCCAACGAGGTAATGGATTGCGATCGGTGACATGAAACTGATTGACGATAATCGATGAATTTACGAGATTATCAATGTCTAAAAAGTCCAATTTTATGTCCCATAATAAAGGAAGAACATCTTCAATGTGACCGAGATGATGCCAATCAGTTGCCACTGGCGCTGGTCGTACGCCTGGTTCTTGAATTCGAACCGTGAAAGCCCAATTAACGAGCTGTTCACTTACAGGATAGACGATCAACTGACGATCATCCGGATTTCCGGCAAAAATCATAGTTCTTCCATCCAAATAGAGCTTATCCATGCGTGTGACACCACGCCACATAGTGATACCTTGCCAAAGAGGAGGACCTTCATCGGGATAAAGAATTTTACGTACAGTTGAATTGATCCCATCAGCAGCTAACAGCACTTTAGCTCTTTCTGTATCAATATCACCGGTAATTGAATTCATAAAATCGACTTCAACATGATGCGGTTGTAATCGAAATGTGACTAACTTTTGGCCGAGACGAACCACTTCTGCTCCCATTTCTTCATGTACATGGCGAAGTAGAAGTTGTTGAAAGCGACCTCGATGCAACGAGTACATTGGCCATTTGTAACCTGCATCGAGGCCTCTTGGATCTTGATAAACAAACTGACCATGGCTTGAATAGAAGACCGCTTTATTATTACAAATGCCGGCTTCATTCATTTCGGATTCGAGTCCGAGCTCGTACAATAATTTGACACAATACGGTTGAAGATTCACACCAAAACCTGTTTCTTCAAGCTTTTGAGCACGTTCATGAATGCGAACGGAGAAACCAGCACGATGCAAGCAAAGACCAGCGACAAGACCACTGATTCCTGCTCCGGCAATAAGAACATCGGTTATTTCTGCACGATTGTTATTGATGAGAGTATTGCTGGTATTTGATGTTCGACGCTCGATTTTCAATTTGTTCGTCATTTTGCTCACTGATATCTAGAAAAAGAAAAGTTCATGTATATACAATGAGTGAAGCTTTACAATGTCTTATCGATATCCGACTGTTGAAATCACATGACGGGTAGACGCATGCTGTTTGTGAAAAAAATTGAAGTAATCACGCGTCGAGACAGTTCTATTAGCAATAGTTCAAGTTTTAGAAACAAGAAAAAATACGATCATAATGAAATTATTTTAAACTCAATCGGCACACGCATTGGAGTTCGTTGATCATATTGTCACGTTGATAATCTATGAAAAGAGAACGAGCATAGCATCAAAACATTCGTCCTCCTTTTTTTTGTAGCCAAATGCGCTCGAAAAAAAAATCAGACCTCTTCAGGTGCAAGAAAAAAAGCGATTCTTTTGCGTTCGATATGACGCGTGTGGAGTGGCACGTCGTGAGAGGATGAATGATGATAAGAGCACACTCTACTGACTTGGTGCACAGAACGTGCAAGTGAAGAATCAAAAGCAATTTAAATTTCTATTTTTATCCATAGTTCTATGATAACACAGTTGTCTGTGAATCAAGTCCTCTCCAGTCTGTAGGACTTACATGAGAGTGTGTTTATAGAATGATATTAAATCGATCAAAAGCTAGCAAGACCCCTTTCGATTATACTTAAGTAGTCAAATCAATTGCTAATGATTGAAGAATTATATAGAAATGTATCTCTTCTACTATAAATCACTACAATTCAAAATTTATAAGGAAATTTCTAATTTCATAGTAACCATAAGATACTATTATCCAAAAATTTTGAAGAAAACTTCCGATAATCGACTAAAGAGATTCTCCTTCAAGTGGCTATCAAGCATTAAGCAATGAAGTCATAAACATGGTACAATAATCTGTACACTATATACCTCAAAGATTACAAAGAATCTAGTGAAGTATCGATAGATATGCATGTGAGTGTCTTCTCTTCGTTTGACTCCGCGTATTCAGATCAAGTTCTCGCTTTTTTTAATGACAGCTTCTCGTATACACTGAGAATACGAGCTATAATTAGCCATCACGTGCTGAGACAGACCGATAAGAGACAGGTTGTTTTGTGTAGAGAAACAAGCGTTATCAAGATATTATGGTCTCAAAAATTGACACTAAATATTTAAAAAAACTTGGATTTCATAGTAGGACAATTAAGGTCAGATTATTAACAAGAAACAAGACCAATTGATCACTGTACCAAAGTTGTTTGTTACTTTTATTAGAGTCATAAGAAAATTTTTATTCTAGGTAATTACGATGGTTCTAAAACGAAATCTATCAATCCCTTCTTTTTTGATGAAAACGAAAACTTTTTCCTTCTTTCTTATCTCGTCATTACATATGCATATGACCATATTCATATGTCACATAGGCAGGCAAAACGAATTAACAACAGATAACTGTTTTAATGATAATAATGTCTTGACCTAATTTCGAAAATAAAATGAAATAAATAAAAAAACAGACTTAGAGAAAAACTGAACTAATTATATTAAAGAGCTACACAATAATTTTATGGTCAAATATTTTCGAACGTAGTTATGATGTCTAAATGTATATTTTATCTTTCCTGTTGGTGAACCATATTAAATAAGAATCCGAATATTTTCAATCATGATGTTATATGAAGCAGCAACAAATTAATATCTCTAATGAACTGTGCGAGTTTTTCATTTTCTTCGTTATTTCAAAAAATAATTATTAAACTTTACGTATCGTTTTCAATACTTTTCTTTCGTTTTTCAAATTGTCATGAAGTTTATTGAAGTTCATATCGGTTCATTCATATTGATACACGATATTTTTTTTATTAAATATATTAGAATCTTTGCTTCTAGATACATAAATTATCTTTGTTGTTTCTCTTTTGAAAGACTATTCTTAGTAAAAAATTATTTATCTTGTAAATCATTTGATATTGAACATTTCTTGTGAATGTCATCTTTTAAGCTTTTTAATTTATCTTTCATCAACAATATTTTTTCAAGATTAAATTTCTTGAGCCTTACTGGAAACTTAAAACTTCTCATAAACTCATTCGTATATTATTTTTGCTATTTTAAACATGATTATTAGTGGCCTATTATCTTGTATATCTCTCATGTTTTATTCTATATTGTTCTTCAAGTGACGTACATTTGTGTTTATCTCTTTGCTAGATGCCTTTATTCTGGGTCTATATACTGTGTTAGAAAAACAACCAACTGAAAGCTTTTTAAGCCAACAATATGCATGTATGATCATCTTTTCTTTTATTGGCAAACTTAATTTTGTTTCATCACTAATCAATCAAGTTTCTTAGAGACTACTGGTACTGTCCTAGTCAAGACTGTAACAAGGAATGAGGTCGTAACCAGGATAAAGTCTACAAGCGAAACATCCAGCTGTAATAGATAATTCGACAACGATTGAATTCTACGCAGCTTCAGTGATCTTAACTGAAACCTACAGGGATATTCAGACTAGTTCAAGAACTTGAGCGGTACCCAGACCTGGTCAAAGCCCTCGTTCTGAAGTGCGTCAACCAAGGACACTGTGTTTGGATCCGAACCTGCGATAAGGGAACCAGAAGTAAAACTTGGATGAATTACGAAACGGAGTTTCAAGTCCAGACATGAAATGAGGCCTAACACAAGCTACATTGCACATCGACAGCACAGTAATATTTGATCATGAGTTATTTTACATACATAGTTGGATAAACATAACTGAAACTTCTTTGTTTGATGGGTATATAAACAACATTAACACATGACAGTATTATTCTGGTTAAAAATACACAAGATTTCGTACGAATACAGCGAGTAAATGTAAATCTTTTTGAAATTACATTCTCTTCAGAGGATTTTTCATTAGCAGTGTTGATAAGATTGCAAAGAAATGAATATCGTTCATAGCCGACGAAGACTAACGATAAACTAAGCAGTTAGAGAAGTGATAGAAGAGTATGGAATAACTATTTATTCTCTTATCTTACTTGATAGAGCACTAACGTAAAAGCTCCAAGATATCTTCATCACATTTTTGAGAAATCCATCAGACCAAAAATTCATCGCATCTCACACAGAACTCTGGTCAATTATTTTCACAAATTACTATCATTCAAGCAAATTTCATCAAGCTTTAATTATCATTGCCTGCAGCAACGTAGGCCTCGTCACTAGTTTTTGTTTTCTTCGGTGCCATGATAAGAATGAAAATTACTTTTCATTTTCGTCATATGAGAATAATAACTTCAAAAATATTAACAAAGATTAGTTATGACGAGAAGCAATTGAGTGTTTCTCATCATGTAGCATGAAAATACAAAAGATTATTGACTGGTTTTATTGATTGCAACTAGTTACCATACTGTTGGCACTTTATGTCACATATTTTATGCTCACTTCGTTTTCCTTCGATATGGCTCAACAAGAACTGTTACAATATGTCAATAGTTATAACTCATCTTGCCAGTTTCATCTAGCAGATACTTTCAATCTTATTCTTTTCGCACCTTGTGGTGGTAGTCTAACGCCGACTGATATGCTCGATCGAACACAAGGAGGTTGTCGTCGTCCAGGACCATATTGCACATATACGTACAACGATACATGTCTTGATGGTGATCCTTGTGAAACAACGATAGTTCAAGATACTCTTAGCGATCAATTTATGGAGAATGTCGCTGCAGCATTGAATAACACATATGGTTTAGAACCATTCGTTGTCATTGGCAAATGGCATCGAAAAAAGGTTGACTCCAATCGAGAAATCAATCAAGCAACACTCAACTATCCTAAAACTATTACTGCTTATCAAAGTTACCACACAAATCTTCAATATGCCATGGATCAAGTAAAACAACTACATGACAAAGGTCTTCTTGTTGATATGCATGGTCACGGTGAAGAAAAGTGTGTTATAAAAGAAATCCTCCCAAAGCAAAACAATATATGACTTTATTTCTTTAGCTATACAATGATTGAATACCTTTTAGATGGTTATGAACTCCATAGAGATGATCTTTAAACAAAACTCGCTACGATAATGTCAATTGAGCTAAATGCATTCGAGGACAAATATCATTGGGTACGATCCTTGAAAATAATGGACTTGGCATCACCTATGCATCAATGGCACATTCGCAACCAGAAAGTGTTACTTTCTATGAAGGTGGTTATATAACAAGCAATTCTGTTTGGAAAATAAATGTGATGAAGACTGAACTACCATACAGAATACATAGTGGACCTTATAAACTCGTGAACGCTCTCAAATATGTACGTAGCCTTATTGATTATATGACAATGAATAATTTATTATTGAAAAAATAAAATTGGACATGTATGAAATAATCTTTGTTTTCCGTGTATTCATTTTCATATTGAATTCAATAAATGATTAAGAAATACTCAAACTATGAGTGTGCAGCAGAAAAATAAACAGGAACTGCAATAGAAGATGAAGTGCAGGAACGTAAATTGATCATTATCAAGTCAGATTATGAATCTAATATTTTCTTCCAGTCAAATCATAACTATATAAATGTTTCAAACATATTCAATGAAAATATATGCTTTTCTATGTATGTATTACAGAATAACAACCTGCTTGATAATCGCTGAAGTAGATTGAACTCATCTATATGATCAAACTGAAAAAAATGCGATTGCAAACTATGTATATCATACTTTTTCTGAAACATGATGTTGTTATGCAAAATATAAGAACCATTTATAAAATGATCAAGTTTATGCTGAATTCATTGATTACGATGCAACTTCTTTGACAATTTTTCTACCTAGTAAGACATCATGCACTTGTTAGTGAGTAGTTCAGAAAATTCATAAACAAGTGTATATTACTTTACTATTATAACTGAAGACTTATCAAAGTGCTTCATCCATATTGAATTATTTAGAGATAACACACTAAGTACTACGTTACGTACAAACAAGAAGTTAGTAGTTGGGAAATTACTTGTGACAGAGTATTTGCTATGGTATCTATACCGTAAGAACTCTGTAAAGGATCCTGACGGGATTTATTGACCTATCCATTTAGAAAAACAGATTGATTTTTATTCAATTTCAAGAATATTAAAATATTATACGAAAATGGTCTTTGATTAGTTACTATCAGAATAGGATAATAATTATTGTTTTATTGAGTTTTGTAGAGCTTTTTTCGTTCTACAATTTCATTTATTTCACTATCACGGCACAAGAGAAAAATATTTTTAATCCAAAATCGCTAAATTGATGAATTTCAATTTTTTTAAATACCTATTTTTGTTTGGTGTCTCACAGTAGATGAAATTTAACAATAAACTCGGTTAAGATTTTATACAAATGACAACCGTGAAAAAAATCACGTTTATTAGAAAGAACTGTTGAATAAATACAAAAGAATACATTTGTTCTTTTTTCTGTATTTCATATATCTTATTGTTTCATATTGTGAAAAGAACATCTTCATTTTTCTATTAAAGTGATAGACAAAATTGAAAAAATATCTATTTCTTATATATATACTATTAAATACCACTGTATGTCATCTATTCGTCCAGTAGAATATACATAGTCTATCCAATACTTTCCTTTTGTTCTGAGTATTAAGTTTTAATATTGTCATCTACTCACATTCAAAATGTTTATTATTTTAAAATTGATATGAAGTACATAAAAATACTGAGCTAAACAACATTTTAATTAATTTCATCAGTTTCATGAATAATATTCGTAATAATATTTTGAATTGATTGCTACAAAACGTACATACAGACCGATGATTCCATTAAATCTCTTCTTTATTTTTAACAAAAGAATAGACTCCGTTTTTTTATTCCTCAGTCTTCATCTTTGATGATAAAATATCATTCGACACCAAATTAATTGTAAATTAGTTAATTGCTATATTTTAACGTGAGGTTTTCTAAAAACAATGAGATATCATATCTATGGATGCATCAATCATTTTGGAATGAGACAGTTTATAATTATTTTTATTACAACACAAGAACCAATTATATTAACGCATTATATTTGTTGACACTGAAATCTTAAGATTTGTACTTAAACATAGTTATACCATTAAAATGTATCGATATTATGAATATTCTTACTTTTGGAAAGAAAAAGATAAAATAATTTTTTTTTATTCAATTTAATAATGTATTTGTTTATTGTCAATTTTGACGAATACATAGATAGAAAAATAGAAGTATAGAACAAATTATTTGATTATTCTGTCGATCACTTTTTGATTATCAATTGATGAGTAAGAGTTAGTACAAGATATATCATTGTGAGATGCATAGAAAGCATCAGTACACGAATGAGGTGTTTGAATTAAACAAGCTATATCAACAACTTGTGTAGGTAAGCTATTCGATAGTGGTAATATTGTTGGTTCTGCATTTAATTCTGATACAATTGTCGATGCTTGTTCATTAGGAGTTCGTCGACTGATCACAAAAAGACATCTAATAATCAAATAAATCAATAAATATTTTTTTTTTACAAAAGAATAAACACTTACATATTGAGAATACAAGGTAAAATACAAAGTCCACTAGCAAATAAGAATGTAAAATTTTTTTGATAGGTTACTGTCCTAGCATAGATCCAATTGAATAATGAACTTCCAAAAGCCGAAATAATTGTATTTACTTCTGTTACTAATGTAAAAACATGACTACGTTCATGAACTTCCAACCATTTGGATATCATTGGTATTGTCAATACACTTTGATAAGTCGAAAATGAATTAATCAATAATGCTAAATACAATTGCCAACTATATTGAACAAATGAAATCCATAATAAATATCCATAACAGCAAATATGACTAAGAGCACATATTAAAGCATCATTTGCTCCAATATAATTCAATATTTTCATACCTAGTACACTGAAAATAGCTGTAGTAATTAATGATACAGCAGAAAATTGACCAAGATCTTTTGATGACCAACAGAATGGAGTACCAAGAAGGTACCAAAGCATTATCGACGATGATGATAATGCCAACAAATGAAATATATAGGAGACCATAGTTATAATGAGACTAATTGATTTCTTTTTTGAATGATGTTTAAAGCTAAACATTGTACAAATATCAAAACAATGATAACATTTAGATATAGTAGGTGTTTTAATCGTAACATGTACATCGTTTGACGATGATGATGATGATGATAGTAGAGCTGTCGTTTCATCCATTGATGTTGAGCTATGTGTTGGTTTCAAAAAGAAAATAACAACAAAAATTGATAATAGTTCTAATCCAAGAGCCATCCATAATAGATCTGTATAGCCACGCCATTGAATATAATAACCAATACCATATGTTGCTAACGCTGATAAACCCGTTGTCATAGCACCGTAACGTACAAAACGTGATGATCGTTCATTTTCTTCGGTACTTTCTGTGATAACTAAATTGATCACAATACCTAAACCGAAGAAAGAGAGAATAATCAAATTAGTTGAAAAAACATATCGAGAATAACCTAGAATATTTGTACCACCTGCCAAACCGGCAATAAAAGCTGATATATACCACCAATATTCAGCTAAATTTTTATAGATAATTGCTTGATAAATAATCACATGAATAGCATTTCCAATTAAAGAAAATATTAATACTAATTGTCGATTTAATTGTGAAGCACAGAGACCAAATAAATATGTTACAATAATGACGGGAAATGCTCTCCATAGAGTTGCTCGAAATATTAAATCAGCTGAATGTTGTTGTGCCCATATTTGAGCAGAACTATTTGAAATATCTGTCGTATTTTCTATGCATTGTTCTCGATTATATTCAAGCATGTTGATGTTTAAAGATAAATTGTTGATAATTGTCCAATTTTGATACATATCAGGATAAGTTTGTAGAAAATATCCATAGATATATTGTCCAATAACTGCAAGAATACAATTATAAAGTGTTTGAAGACAAAAAATAGTTACAATAAAATAACTATTGCTATCAATCATGCTTGATCAAAATGTATACGCTAGGCTTAAAACTAATCTTGAAAAAAAAAAGAAGAAGATCACATTATACTGATAAAACATACTTATTTTTTTTTCATTGACAAAACCTATCATTCCCTATGTCTGTTTTCGTTTTTTGTTTCTTTTCTACGACAAAAACAACTGACTGAAGCATGCTATCAATCGAATTGTTTTTTGCTGTATGTGATGAAGCCGCCTGAAGAGAAAAAGAAAAAAAAATGCTATATATGCCTATTGATTTCTTTCGTTCTGTTAAAAACATAAAAAAATAGGTTTTGATTACTCTAATAATATACCCAGAACTCATATGCAAATTATTATTGATGGAATAGTATTAACAAACAACAATAATTAATGAATAGATACAACTTTTCTAATTGAAAACTTTTTTTCAAAATCTTTCTTTTCCTAACGATACATATAGCCATCTATCGGTTGCTCTTAATAAGAAACTCACATCGCAAACTGTAAGTAAAATATTGATAGATAAACATTATGTTAAAAGTCAATGGTTCCAGCAGCGAATTTATCACTATCGAAAAAATATTACCGTTATTCTATTATTAAAATGATGAAAAAGTATAAAATAAAACTTCCATATGTAATAATAAAGAGGCAAGTGATAGAGGATCTAATGATTTGAATAAGAAGGATGGTATTAACAGACATATATATTTTATAATTGTTTAATTAGATCCTGTGAAAGAGTTTTATTTTATTATACTAGTGATGTTATTCATGGATTTAGATAAGTATTTAATTTCACGATTTCTCTTTTTACGATAAAGAATATATTTGATAATATTATATGAAACCCGATGCTTAGTTCGGAGCGCAACATAATAAACAAAAATACGTCGCGACAAGTATCATTATTATCATTCTTTGATGAGTAACATGATTTTCTTGAAAAGAAGCACTAATTATACTATTGTCGCTACTTACCGGTCGGAAACCTTTTGAAAAGAAAACTTTATTATAGACTAAGGCCATTATTAAAAAAAA